AAAGGCAATTGAAAAATCAGATCCTGCCTCCAGTTGATGTATGACCATCAATGATGTCAGATATATCCATTAGGGTCGGGAAGGGATTAAAGATTCTTTGGGAGAGAGAAATCCCACAGATGACATATAACCAGACTTAACAACGGATTGCATAGCCTTTTTGATGGCAGTTTCCGAGAGATTAAATGCACTCAAAATGATTGCCTCGAGAATATATGGAGCTTATCGAAATGGCATTGCCAACTTTGAACCAAAAAAAGTCGTCTATCATAAGAAAATCAAAGATTATTGGCAATTGGTGGACCCATATATGGCTAAAAGCACTATCAGATACACTTGAAAGGCCCAGAGACAGGCCTAAACACTCGTTTTCTGGTGCTGTTTTGCTCACACCTGGGAAATGCAGGATTCTGACTTTGTTGGGGTGAGAAGAAGTGGGGAAAGGAAGCGATTCCTCTTCCTACTTCGAAGGCCGAGATCCCAGGTATTTCCTGTCCAGAAATCTCAAATTTTCTCTTTTTGAAGGTTTTCCAAGGATTTCTTTTTGCAAAATCAGTAACACACCGAGGTGCGAGTACCCTTGGATCCTATGGTTTATAAGTCTTTCTTCGATCTAACTTTATCTGAGCAATAAGTTTCCCACAAAATCCTCGAAATTCATTCCCTAGGCAGCTGTCTCGTGCTCTTTTGCTTTCTTCAAGAGGATCATACCATCATGATTCAGTTAATCCTAGAAAAGAGCATTATTTCATCCGAAATCGTTGATGCCACATTACGAGCAAAGCTGCAGATTCCATGAGGAAGTCCGCTGCTCGTCTGCTTGTCAATGATCAAGCCAAAGCGGTTGGGAACCTCTCTGAAGTAGCATTTGCTGCCACTATACATGAAACTCCATATGTATGGACGGAAACATCCGACGAACAAGCGATAAATTTGTTTTTCTTCAATCGCCTCCTTACACCAGCCAACATCTCTATTGATTAGCCGGACCACAAGACAGGCTTCAATCAAATTGATGTGTTAAAAGTGTTCAAATTTGCCACTACATTTTATCCCTAGCTCATAATCATGCCTACGACTTCGAAGGAACACTGGGTGATGCATTCACTGTGTCAGCGGCAAAGCTGGTTCCAATTAACAACCCGGAAGAGCAGGAGCTTCATCGATTGCAAGAATACAGGAAGGTAAAGGAGATGTCGAGGTTTTCCCCTTATGAGGTTTTTATTTCTCTCGTTGGGGTAAGATCTTAATACCACCTCCTCCTTCAGCTCTCGTCCACTTTGGCTGAAAAACTGCAACCCACTGAATCATTGCGGAGACTTTGAACTGAAATTGCCTTAGCTGAAACTATAAAGAAAATCACGTCTGAACCTTAGGTCTTCTAGGCCCATTATAACATTCTGAGCCGCAGAAATATTATCACTTTGATTTCAGGGTCTGTGAACAGTGCGGTTTCTCTTCTCCGCAGATTATGTGATCAGGTACGGAACCAGATTGTCCTTGGTATCTCGATGAAGTTAGAAGATACATGATGGAGTTACTTATATCTCCATATTTGTCTTTTTTAAGTATCAAAAAACCCCGAAATGACTAGTAAACCTTATTATTATAGTAATGTCAAGCACGGTTAAAATTATCAAATTCCAGTATCAGTCAGGTGTTAATTGGGTTATGTTAAGATCAGGACAAGAAGGCTTTGAAAACAGGGAAAAATCAATCGAAATTGTCTTGCTTAAAAGACACCGGTTGATGGTATGTAATCTACTGGAGGAGGAGGTCAGTGCGACAGAAAGTAGGTCCAAATGGTGAGGACAGCTATACCACATTGCATAACATTTGGAAAAAACGTAAAAAATCCAGACATCGATCTTTTCAATTTTGCTATTATTTTCAATTGCAGATCTGCCGTACATAACCAGTATCTGGGCTTCAACCTTCCCTCAGGATACCTTGGTCAAGTGAAAGATAAGCTCAGTGCCAGGACCAAAAGTCCCCCATGAGTGAAACGTAAATGAGTTCTAAAGTCCCAACAGTACCGATTCAGGCTGAGAAGACCTCAAAATTTTCTCCACTTCTAACTATTGTCAAATAAGGAATTTGCAGGAAATATTATCCGTTATTTATACCCTTATAGGAAAAATTCACCCAAACTTTTCCTTTTGGGCTGTGAAGCACTTGATAAAGGGGTCCCGTCTTATTGAGTTTGAGCGATTTTTCTGACCTGGCAAATTCCCAGTTGATTAAAAATTATTTCAATGACCAACAATACCTGACTTCCTGACTAAAGAATTATATGTAATATTTTGTCATGGTAATACAACCTAATATGAATTGCTAGGTTGGATTTTGTGAAGTGGCAAGTGGCGCATTACCACCCAGGTATGTTCACTGGTTCGGATCCCCGGATCGATCTTTATCTATGCTAACCAGGCATTCCATCCCTCCAGAGACGGCTTTTCGGTACCAAAGTCGTCTGGGAGGATAAAGGCCCGGACTTGTACATCAGCTGTCTACCGCAAGTCATTGTATAGACCACATACGCATTCAATCGGCCACTACGATCCTGAATGGGAGTCGAATGCGTGGGCGCATCTCTCAGACGGAATTGATTAACGCCAAAAACTTTATCCTTTACCCTTCAGTATAATTTGATATTATCCAACCTTTCCACTAATTTGTTTCAGCATTGTAAAACTCCACTTCAGTGTAGTGCATCGGGACGCCTCATAAATAAACAAATAAATAAATGCGATTCTCTATGTTGTGTGTAATGAAGCGTATGCTGCCTTCAAGCGTCCCCACGTTGGGCCATTTTAAAAACATGCATGAGCCTACGACAGCTGCGCTCCATTGAAAAGATCGTTTGGCTGATAAAAAGGTCCAAGTAACTCTAGCCTAAGAAAAATTCTATCTACGTCTGAGCTTAGATCCAATTACTTGAGGTAATTACTTTTTCCAGGAAAAAAGTGCTAATTCTATGTTCGGATTGATTGGTGAGGAGACCTCTTTGGCTAAGTGAAGGGTTCAGAAAGCAAATACTGAAACTTGGGACCATTTCCTGCAACCATTTCCTTATTTCAGATTTCTTAGGGTTCAAATACCCGTCCATTTCGTCCCCCATAGGTCCCACACAGCCATGTTTACCTATTTATATTACTCATTGACAAATTTTGTAGTTTACATTGGATAGCCACTCTTCTGGGAGCTGGAAAACCGCCAAATTCCCAAGTTCTCATCCCATTTCAATAGAGGTTCCAGTAACCTTTCCGCATGAGCAGAGTAACTAGCCCTAGAAACCAGTTATGGACAAATCCCCCTCCCAAAAAAACTGCTTTCCGCCTGTCCATTGGGGTGTTTAGTGCCATAACTGGTGCTCAGCAAATCTCTCAACCGTAGCCGAATTCGTGAGGAGAAGTCGGTCGGTGAACAGCAACCCCGCTTAATGGCCTTTCATGCTCACTAGTCGATTCAGCTTGCCTCCTTCCATAGCCCCACTTGTTCGAACCTCTTCCCTAGGATTATTCAACGTCGTGAGAATAGTGGCCGGACGACGAACGGATGATGGTGGAGGTGGATTTGAACGAATAGAGTATGCCGGTGATTGTTCGCGGATGGTTGGGCCGCTGAAGGTCAGTAGAGGGTCAGGAACACGTAAACATTTACGCACACCATCTGGTGCTACGGCCGAAACAGAACAAAACGTTCCCCCTTCCTGCCAGCACTCCATTCTGGCGAGCTCCCCCCTTTCGGCCCCCGCCCGTTCAGCCGAGCCGGCACCGAACGGTGGCCTCACCTAATGCACTTCCGCATGGCATAATGGTGTTTCTGAAAAAACATGCAAACACCCATAAAGGTGCCCAGGACCCCAAGAGTTAGTCCCCCCCCCCCTCCCAAATCCTCTGTATGAAATTCCGTATGGGTGGAATTGAACGGGAACGGCTCAGCTGGGGAGATGACCCTGTATGGATGCGCAGAAGTGGATTAAAAGGGCAACTCTGCCTCCATTCGGACATTGTTCGGGGGGTGTCAAGAGGATTTCCGGTCATGGTCAGAATGTAATGAATGGGAGATGAATGAGGAGAAATGAATGTGAGGTATTCGATTACATCCACTGAACATTTCCCCACTCGGGTAAAAACTTTGGACAATGGGAGAATGTGGAGTCAATAGAAATATGACCAAGGGCATAGTGTAAATACATTAGGGGAGAAAAATGGTGCATAAGAACCCGTCCACGAATCCAATTTCAAACATTACTGCATAGTGACAATGCAGTAATTGGTTTTTTTCCTTTCTTGAACAAAATATTAAATAAGTTTAGGTTACTATAGTAACAGATAATGAATGATATAACAGCTCATTATGTGTCGTGGTGAGTATTGTGGTGGTGCCGTAATCAAACACAAGCAGACAGCAGCAGTAACAGCAGTCGGAACTGGCCTCATAGCACCAATTACTACTGGTAATTACTGTCTATAGGTGGATAACAAAAACAGAACAAAGCAGCGGATTGAATTGAATGAAATCCGGTTTTTTCTTGATTCAAATCCTCCTGAAGCTTTTTTCAGGGAGGGCATTCTTTTCGGAAAGAACTACAGCTCCAGCAGTTCCACGAAGGCTCTCATCTCCGCTAGGATTTAGATTTGGGAGTTTTTTTTTNNTTTTTTTTTTTTGAATAACAAGTCAAAACACTCAAATACATTGCTCAATTCATAACTTATTCACTTATAAAACCAAGAAATCAAGAAAGGGGAGGTTCTTGAGCCCTCAGCCTTCCCGTTTGCTTGGTGTCTCAAATTATGTTCTCAAAGCCCACTCCTAGCGAATCTACTAAGTAATTCGAGTAGGAAAAACATAACTTCATCAGCTATTTCGCACAATCAGGAAATGAACCCCGGTTCAAACTATTTATCTCTCACCGGCACCTTCCTCCTTTTCCACTCCCTCCCTCTGCTCTCCCTTCTCTCAGCGGAGTTTCAAAAGAAAGCTATTCCTCAGACAATTAGTAATCTTGACTTATCGTTGGCTAAGTTGTTCATTAAATTAACTTGAGTAAAGTCAACTGCAACATCAAATGTAAGCTCAAGTATGGAGTATATAACCAATTCAACTATTCCATAAAAAAGGGGAAATGACGGCCGATTCCAAGTTGATGACTGCTGGAGGTCATTGACGATAAATTACTTTATTTCCAGCTCTTCAACTAGTTTAGTGCTTACCAACTTTCGAAGAACGCTATGACAAATGCGTATTCCAATTGCAGACTAGGTAATTGGCTGAAGCGGTTAGTAATACTGGCGAACCTGCTTTGATCCGTAGCTCAGGTACAACCTTCAGAGAAGACCTGAGTTGTCAGTTGGCCAACGTCTTCACTGATAAACACCCCAGAGTAAGCGCCCGAATCTCCATCGGAACAGCTTCCGCAATTCGCCCGAGTGGTCCCTTTCCAAGTTCAATGTGTTCCATCGTTGGTAATGGTTTTCAAGTTCTGTCTTTGACAGTAATGTTATGTAAATATCGGAGAAATGGGGTCTCCATTGAGAACTATCGACCTGTGGAAGGAAACGAGGACGTCCTGAGTGCAAGCAAATAGTTCTTTCTTGTAAAAGTATCCTGAAAATGGAGTAGGATTTGATCCCAATCAGAGATACCCTACAATCTCAGCAGCAAAATTTTCAAAAGAAATCCCCTGGGTTTTATTATCGCCCAGTGAAACTGCATAGCGTAACACGCCTCGATGAGATAATTTGTGATTCCGTTGGCTTTTTACGCATCTTCCGGTGGTGTAAACGTGAAATCAATACCTCAACATCAACACTCAAACGAAATTCACTCTCAGTAACCAATTCCGATGGACTCACTTATCTGAGCCACCGCCTCGATCCCCTTTCTCGATGGGGGGACCAATCTAGGAGTTTAAAAGAATGGATCAAACACCACTTGAATTTTATTAAAATACCGGAAACTACTTACCTTAGTGGGCTCTAATTCGCGAACTTTGCAGCAAATCAGAGCTATTTCACCTCTTTTCAAAGTCGTTATTCTCTGCTTAATCTAATAAACGGTTTGACGCGTTCTATGGATTAAATAAATCTGAATTGAACAAAAAAACGAGTCCGAAAGGAGGGAATTGGGCTTGTCGGTTGATTGAAGGACGTTTTTTCTACGTTACCACTTTTTCAGGCTTATCCTACAAGCCTAGATATCCGTCAATGCATCAGTCAGCCATCAAAAAACCCCCCGTAATCTGCTCTTCTTTCTCATTTCCCAACCCCCGCTACCAAGAGATCAACAGATGGGGAGAATCAAATAAACACTTTTTTTGCTCTCATTTTTTATGACAACATCCGATTCACACAACTGATGGCAGGGAGAATCGAACAAAAGATGTTTTTCTGATGATGTTATCTGACACTCTAGCAAATTAACATAGCGATTTCTAATAGACTAAAGTAGTCGGACAGTAGG